AGGATTTAAGGGATCTGGGCGAGAATCGCGTGAGAGGGAGGCGGTTACCTTCACTACACCCCTTGTTGTCTCCGCTGCCGTAACTTTCTATTCGAACCGAAAGGAGGGAGGAGGCTGTGGCTGCGGCTATGGTGTCGGGCAAGGTAAGCTTCTTCTCAATCTCTCTCTCTCTCTGGATTGGTGGCTGGATGACGAAGAGGGGGTCGGTTAGAGAGGGAGATCGGGATCTGGTCGGAGCAGTGAAGGGAGACGGGAGTTTGGTCGGAGGCTGGGAGGATTCTGGCTGCTGGGCTCGGGATTGAGGGGAGACCGGGAGGCAGTGGAGATCGGTCGGAGCTTGGAGTCGAGAACTGCGAGAGGAATTGGGAGGAGTTCGTGGAAGGAGAAGAGCAGCCCCTAGCCATGGGGTTGGTTCGACATTTAAAGGCGAGATCGCAGATTTTGAGCAGGATTTTCGGAACGGCGTCGCATGTACAGTGATTTTGACGGGATTTCCGGCAGTATTCGTGGATCTGTCGGGTAAGGTATGTATGCGATGCTTTTTTTTTTACATGAAGGTCAACAATAGATTAGGATATTTCTCATTTAAAATCTTATAATGCTTGCTTCATTCTCTTTTTATAAATGTTGATATTGAAAATTTTCAATCTGACACTAGTGAAATTGCTAAACATTATAGAGTTCCTTTTCCTGAAAGTAAATATGGATCCTCTACTTCTTATATGAAATTTCACTCTGATATTTGGGTATCTTTAAAATCCCTAATATTTCCTGAGCTAAAGGATTTGTAACATCAATGATTTTTGTATTCGGATGACATGAGTTTATCTTTATAAACAAATATCCGATGTCACTCATATTCTTCTAATCTTTATCTTTATGATTAAAATTCAATTTTATGATACTATTAACAAATTTGGATAAATAATTCTCATGATTATTTTAATCAAAATTTTTATTCTTTCCTCAATAGTGAAGGTATTATTCGCTAGCTCTGGCATCCTAACAACATACAACAAAATAGGGTGATACAAAAAATTGGAACCTCCTAGAATTTATAATGATTCTTATTTATCTAAAATCAAGTTCCCAAAGGATATTTGAGAGTTGTTATAACCACTATATATCTTATTAATAGAATATCCTCTAGGTTGATTGATTTTAGAAGTCCCTTGAACTATCTTGCTAAATTTTTTCTCATAATTGTTTTTCTTTAAAATTTCCTTTAAAAATTTTCTAAAAGCATGATCTGATAGATTTACAAAACTTATGTATGGAATTAGATATAAACAAAGCTAAGGAGAACTTGTATTTTTTATAAAGCATTACACTTTTGAAAAATTTAAATTCTTATTGTGTATGTTGACGAAATAATTGTTACAGGGGGATGATAATGAAAGAAAGAAATTACTCAGGAAAAAACTCAGCACAGAGTTTGAAATAAAAAAACTCAGTAAGTTTAAATATTTCTTTAGTATAAAATTGACCCAAATAGAAAAAAAAATTTCTCTCAACAAAAGTATGCTATAAAATTTTCTTAGAGAAATATCTAAATGATTGGTTGCAAGTCATGTGAAAATTGAATTGAACCAGGTTAGAAACTTGACACAAATGAAGATGGAATTGAAGTTGACATTGGGAAATATCAAAGATTAGTTAGAAAATTACTTTATATATTCCACACTCATCTTAATGTTGTCTTTTTAGTAAGTCTCATAAGTTAATTTATACAAAAAGAAAAGGAATCTGACCTTCAAGCTGCTTACAGAGTTTTCAGGCATCTAAAATCAAATCATGAAAAAGGGATTCTCTTTAAAATACAAAGAACTCTATACATTTAAGGTTATGTTGATGCTGATTATGCACTTGTGGATAGGTGATCCACTTCATGATATTCCACATTATTGGGAGGAAATCTACTAACATGTGGATGCAAAAAATAATTTGTCTTCTCAGTAGCAGGTGCTGGATCTAAATTCAGAACAATCACTCAATATATCTGTGTACTCTTATGAAAAATTATATTGGAAGATTTAAATGTCAAGTGTAAAGGATCTATAAGGATATACTATGACAACAAATCTGTTATCATCATTGCCCATAATTCAATATAATATGATCAAGTAAGAAATTAGAAAGTTGTTAATTTGTACTCCATATGTTCCTATAAGAAATCAACTTGTAACATATTTGTCAAAAGACTTTGCATTCTGATGCATCTTGGAAGTAAAACTAGTAGATAAGAAGAAAAATGTAGGAACCAAATATTAACAAATATTAATGCTAATTTTTTGATTATATGTTCAACAAATAATGAAATATATAACTGATATACTATTCGAGCTGTAGATCGGCTCTCCCACAAACCCTAGGCATTGCTAGGAATAACTCCAAAGAAAAACTACAACAAACTCAATTACATAATAAAAATAAAACCACCTAATTAACTCTAATATAAACCTTCCTACTTCCCTCCTAAATTTGAATTCAAATTAGCCATTTTTCTCTAAATAATGCTTTCCTAATTTTGTTCCAATCAAATCAGCTATCTTTTCCTAATTAAAATATTTCTAATTCCCTCACAATCAAATTAGCCCTTTTTCCCTAAATAAATATTTTCTAATCCCTCTTTTCCTAAATAAACTTTTTCTAATTAGTTTCCCCTTAATTCCTCCTCCTTACATAATGAATAATAGAGGCCCCACAAGGGCGTATCACATTCCTATATCAACAAATATTGTAAATTCAGACATACAGACATATGGGATTAGCAAATAGGAAAGCTGATGGGCCATGAATTCATGTGCTAAACAAGGAAACCATTTGCCACCGATCCATGTGCAAACAAGAGGGAGAGCCACAGATTGCTCCCACCAACGGAAATAGGAAAGTGATAGTAGGCGGATAGTAGATAAGACGTACAAGTAAATTATGGATGGCGGTGTTTTTTTATTTTGAAATTATTATAGTTATTATTTCTACTTAAGATTGTGTAGTTTCTATTTGTTCTCTACATATTTGTGTATAAATACCCATTGAAGGAATTAACAAACTAAGCTTTCTAGCCACTTCTTTTCTATAGGTTTTATTCAATGTGCAATTGCATTTCACAAATCCATGCTATCATGATTGGCTTAAGCATCATTTTGTTTGTTCTTTGCTTTTATTACTCCTAAATGACTTTATTTCTATTAAACTCTCTGATCCTTAACATTGCTTGTCTAACATTCTAAAGCTTATCATCATATTGATCTACCACTCTCTTATCCTGATTCCCCTTAACTGTTAATATTGAGTTAAAGTAACTAAATATTTTCCTTCCCTTCCTCCGCCAAATGAGTATCTCTTTTCTTCTATCCCTTGTCTTGGCTAAGAAAACCCAAAGTCCACTCCATTGGAATCAATAGGCCCATTCCTGTTACAATTGATTACATTATTGTATGATGATTGACAGTGCCTGGTGGAAGTGTCATCATATATAGGAAGGTCAAAATTTTCACAAGCTGAAGACGTTTCTAAAAGTAATGGTACAAATCCATTGATGCTGTAATTTGATGGGAATGACTGCAGGCTTACAGAAATTAAATTCATATTAGATAATTATTTTAGCTATGGTAGGTAGATCTATTGTAGAGTTGATTTTAATTCTAAAGTAATCTGATGGAACATTATAGAGTAGAGAATGATTCATCATGTAATTTTTGTTGATCCTGATAAGGTTGTATGATTGAGTTTTAGTTTAGCGGATATTAATTTGAAGAGGTGTGTGCTAAAGGTTTTGTGACGGTTTTAAAGATATACATGGAATTATAATTGGTTTTGAAGTAGTTGTGGCTTGGCCATAGTGTTTTCAATCATAATAAAATTACATCATGGATGAACATTAAGTTTTCCTTTTTTATAATGGTTATGAATATTCTGTACTTGAAATTTATCATTATCTGTTAGTCTTTTAAAAAGAATAAATGATCCCTTAATTTAGAAGTTTTCAAATGTGGATATAAATGAGGATATAGTTTTCAGAATTTGAGCTTGATGGTTAAGATGAAGAAATGTATCTGTTAGAATTCATAGAATTTGAGAAGGGGAAAAATACCTTCTTCTTATTATACAAAATTATCTTTATTTATAGATATATACAAGATGTCTTAATAAAGAAATAAATAACTTCTAATTGATACATAATTGCCTCAATATAATCCTTCATAATTCAGCTACCCAAATATAAAAGGATATTGGCGTGATCCAGATGAGCCTCCCACGGATTCTCATCCTGACCGTGAGATCAAATGCCAAGGGATGACTGAGATTTTGACAGTATCAATATTACTATAAGATGAGAATATAAAGCCAAAAAGATAGATTTTATAAATTTTCTATTTGATCAACTAGGAATTAAGGTGTAAAGCATTGGATAGCTAATAAATTGCTAAAAACGAAGTTTAGTTTGGAAAAATGAAAATGTAAGATTGTGTATGGAAACACTAGGAAGAAGAGTGATTAAAAATTATATTAGAGAATGTGAGAGTTGCGTCTTTTGATGATTAAGATAATTAAAATTAAAATAAAATTTTGTTGTTCTTATTGGAGATGATCAAATTAGAAATGCACTATTAAGATGTCTAATATAAATTGATGTCAAGGATAATGAATGAAATAAAGGGCTAAAGGTAACATGGTCATATGTTGTGCAAAAGTATTTGCACATTATAAAGTTTGCAATTTAAGTAGCACACAACAAAAGAAATATTGAAGGTGGATTCATAAAGCTGATCTCAAGTATTTGGCATCTAGCAGATGACGGTGTTGAAATTTTGGGTTTGTGCCTTTACAAATATTTTTGCAAATTTACAAATTTCTGCTGGCTCAGTTTGATTTAAAAAATAGAAAACTCTTAACTTTTTTTTTTTAGCTACGATTCACAGTTTGTACTGTTTTCTGATTCTAAAGTTTAGTTGTACGTTCAAATTTATTTCTAACTTGGGATTTTAATCAAACAGATGTTTGTAGGTGTTGCTGCTTCCCGGGTCAAAGATCTTTTTGCTAATGCTAGGTCGTATGCTCCCTCTATCATTTTCATTGATGAGATAGATGCAATTGGGAGCAAGCGCGGTGGACCAGATATTGGCGGGGTGAGATTTATATTGGATATATTGGAGTTTTTAGATTTTACGTATTCTGTTAGGAGTGCTTTGCATTTCCTACGAATATTACTGACCTTACCATGTCTTGGATTGTTTTTCTGGGATACTAGAATGGATGCGAAGATTTTTCATATGAGCCCCTAATTAATTTACTAGTTGTGTCACTATCTCTGATGTACTGCGTTCTAAGGTCTAGACTTTTTAATTCACATACATCAATGCAGTCTACTTTAGTAAGAAACATGAAACTATTGCTGGAAAACAAGCTATCAATCGCAATAACTATTTGCAGTTTTTTATGAAAATAGAAAATGGGTTGAATCCAATTATAGTGAAAAGATTTATGCTTTCTAATAAAAGTTGATGCAAGAGATGTAACGATCACAGAAGACACCCAAGTGAATGAAATTTTATACACAAAAAAAAGAAACCGGATTGCCTCATTACATTTTTAGCTAATAATAAAATAATATTATAAGAAGAAGAGCGAAAAATTGATAAAGAGGCTAAGATGGAAGGAATTAACCAATTGGAAAATCTCATGTTTGAATTAGAAAATCGCATCTTTTAGATTATGTCTTACTTATCATCAAAGGTTAGAATCTGGGAAGAAGTACATACAAAATAAATTTTTATTTAAGACAATTTATTTCTAACATATTTGAGAGCCTCATGAAACAAGAAGGTAATACAGTCCATAGGAAAAAGGCATATGGGGATAACATTTACCATACGAACAAAATTATGAGAAGTATGTTGCTTGAACAAAATGCAAGCAATAGGTGAAGATGCAGGGATATGATAGTCCCATGAGCCACAGTAATGGTTAATTGAAATAGTCATGGAAGTGCTCATATTGATAACAATAGGAGCCACCACATTAATAGCAATAAAGTATACAAGATAGAATATGCCCCACATCAGTTCTCCTTGGGTTGGAAAATTTAGCTGTAATGAATATGATATTTTTCTAATAAATGTGGACGTAATTGTTGGATTTCTTGTTGTCATGACTGACTCATCACATGTTAATTTCATTACTTCACAAAGTATCTTTGATATCCACCATCAATAGTGGATACGATTTCGTCTCTAATAATAGTTTTAAAAACTAGATTAATATGACTATTTAGTAAATATGCAGATGATCTATTTGATTTAATGGTAAGTGACCGTGAAAAGAAAGACACAAATCTTTAGTATTGATTGTTGATTTATGTTGTAATAATATCAGATTAGTTATATTCAATTCGATTAATATATATTTTTTTTTAGATTTCTGGTTTGTCAATATGATGCATGTAGAGGTAACGACAAATTACTTATGCTTTTTTATGAACATATTATAAATAATTCTATGAGGAGGATACATGAGAAATAATTAAAATGAATATTTATAATATTTCCTATGAACATATTATAAATAATTCTTTGAGGAGGATACTGATAGGAAATACTTGAGTTCGCAAGTAATCCTATCGGAATTACTTGAGTTTGCAAGCAACCCTAATGATAATTGGTGAAAACAGTGAGAAAGAATACAAGAACGCCAACAAAATCAATCCAAAACAGTAGATTTAATTAGGGAAATAAAAAAAAAATCAAACATAAAGCAAAGATACAATTGATCCTCAATTCGAGAGGAGGATCGTTCTCTTCTAATCTCTAGATGACGAGTCTAGAGCCCTAGACGCCAAGGAAAACTCTAAGAGAACAACTCAAATCATGCATGCCCTAACCCTAGCATCCCTCCCTATTTTAATACATATCTCCCTAATAAAAACCAATAAAAGATTTCCTAAAATAAATTGATTATTCAAATAGTTTCCCTATGCAAATCCCCCCCCCTTTCCCTTTCCCTCTCTCTCTTTGCCGCCCTAGGGGGGCCCACACACTTGGGAGGCATTCAAAGGAGGCGGCTTAGCCCGCCTCCGGTAGATATGAACAGGTCCAGGTTGGGTCGGTTTGGATGGTTCAGGCCGAACCGTAACAATAACCCCTACCCAAAGAATCACATTGTCCTCAAGGCGAAAACTAGGAAACTGATGTTTCACCATCTCTGGCTCCCACGTGACATCATAGTCAAGAAGATTCTTCAACTTGATCAACACTTTCTTAGTTCTATCTTCTTATTGGCGAACTCCCATCAACTCTAAGGGTTCCAAAATCACCACGAAATCCTCAGTAAGTGTCACAGGTAGCTCCGAGATGGCTGTATAATCCCCAATGACCCTTCTCAACTGAGATACATGGACATGATATATAGCCGCCGTTGGTGGTAGTTTCGGCCGATACGCCACCTCCCCAATTTTCTCCAATACTTCATAAGGTCCAAAGTACCTTGGAGCAAGCTTATCATTCCTCCTGTGGGTGACTGTCTTCTGTTATATGGTCGGAGCTTCAAGAACACCCTCTCCTGTACTTTGAACTAGATGTCCTTCCTATGCCCATCAGCTTGTTTCTTCATAATTTGTTAAGCTCTTAGTAAATGTCTTTTCAACTCCTCTAACACTCTATCCCTCTCCTCCAAGTACTCCTCAACTGAAGAAACTAGGGTACTTCTACTCTCAAAGTGCACCAAGTGAGGAGGATCCCTTCCGTACAACACCTTGAATGGGGTCATCTGAGAAGTAGAATGATAAGAGGTGTTATACTAGTATTCGGCCCAAGATAGCCGCTTGGCCCATAGCTTGGGTGTCTCCGACACGAAGCGTCTCAGGTAGGTTTCCAAGCTCCTATTGACCATTTCTGTTTGGCCATCCGTCTGTGGGTGGTAGGCGGTGCTCCTCTTCAGAACTGTCTATTGTAATCTTAACAACGCCTCTGGTACTTTATGCAACCCGACCACCTCTCTGATGAAAGCTGAAGCCACTGTCACCGCGGTGTATGAATGTCGGAGGGAGATGAAATGAGCATACTTGCTCAATTTGTCCACCACCACCAGAATCACAATGAAATCTTCTGAATGGGGCAGCCCATATATGAAGTCCATATATATCTTCTCCCATACTAGTCTTGGTAAAACTAACGATTGTAGTAGTCCTCCTAACGACATAGCCAGGTATTTGTTCCTCTGACAGACCTCACACCTGGCCACCATTTCCTCCACATCTATGTGTATCCCCTTCTAGTACAGTTCCTAGGCTAACCTCCTCTATGTCTTCTGCACCCCTGAATGACCCCGAACAACGCTTCCATGAAACTCCTGGAGTAAGTATGGAATGTGGATTGAAGTCCGATGCATCACAAACCTCCCCTTATATAGCAGTCTGTCTCCCTCCAAGGAGTACTCTGTGTGGCTACCCCCTTTCCTTAGTAAAATTGTCCTGATTTTTTGCAACTTATCCCTAGCACTCTCCTCCCTGATGACCTCCCTATCTAACATCAAAGAAATCGATACCGCCACTGTTTGCAGCTCCCCCATACATCTGGACAAGGCATCTGCTGCCTTGTTCTCCACTCCTAGCCTGTACTAGATTTCAAAATCTTATCAAAAAATTTGGATAGCCACCTCTGATGCTCTTCAGTTACCATCCGTTGCTCTAACAAATACTTCAGGCTCCTTTGATCGGTTCTGACAATAAAATGCCTATCTAAAAGGTAGGGTTGCCACTTCTGGATGGCTAAGACGATGACCGTCAACTTCCTCTCATAAACTAATTTTAGCCTGGCGAAAGTAGTCGTCTTCTCGAGAGCTTGTGAGTGAATAAGAGTTGCTGCCTAGCATATCTCGTGAGTTTGTGATCCAAAGAGGAGGTGAAGTTCTCCCTATGTTTGAAGAGGAGCCATCTTTTTCAAAGGGCTACGAAGAGAAATTGAGTTAACTTTGTGTGCGAAGAGGCATTGTCTAAAGCGGAAACGTGAAGGACTGCAAAGAGGAGCCAAGAAGTTGTTGTCTAACACCATCCCTATAGTTTGTGGGTGAAAGAGAGGAGGTGAAGTTCTCTCTTTGTGCAAAGAGGATCCATCTTTTCCAAAGGGCTATGAAGAGGACTCAATTTGACCATGCATGTGAAAAGGAGACATTGTCTTGAGTTTATACGTCGAAGTGGATGTGAAGTTGTGCCTTGGTGCGAAGAACTGTAACGAGGAGCCATGTCGAGTGAGTGCATGATTGTGAGGGTTATTCTAGTTTGTATTAAAATCCTAATTAGAGGAAAAAACATCAATATATGGAGAAATAAAAAAGTGTATGCCCCAAGAATAATGCAACTTATGTTATTGCCTTTTAATAATATAAATAGTACGTGCTATTTTGACACCTTGCACTTCTTACTATGCAAATAACATATGGGGCGTGCTTTGCCATGGGAAGTAACATGCACTATAATGCGTTATTGACATATAAAGGTGCATCTTTGAAGGCTGTTTTTATATTATAGTAAGGTTATCAATATTACAATCCATCTACATGAAGACTATGTTTTCATTGATATTATCTTTCATGAGAACACTGCAATCCCATTTAATCTACTACTACAATTCTATTATCTATTCCCCTTTCACCTATAGCTATGGCATCTACTATTCCCGCATAGGTTTAAAACTCTATCATCGAATCTACGTCTTCTTATTGATGTATAAAATGATAAACCACCATGTTTTAACCATCAATTTTACTTTTATATTCCCTTTGATCATATATCACCTTTTTTAACATTGGTTTGCCTTTTTCTCTATTTGCTATCCATATTGCTAGCAACAGTTCTACTTGATCCCAATTAGAAGCATGCAATGAACATTGAAATGAGTGCTCTTATTGATACATACTTTATAGTATGCCATTTTATATCGTTTGATCTTTATTTTCGTTATTGTTAAGTTCCATCCTAGAGGAACTATTGAAAGCCACACGACTAGCTTGATAGTAAAAGAATAACAATTGGTTCATGTCATTGTTGATTTTAAGACTTTCTCTTTTTTTTTTGGCATAATTCAGTTCATTCTATTTAATTTTTATTGCTATTAACATTGTTTAAAATTGCGTAATATGATGCCCGCTTTGAGGTCCATCTCAACGCAATTCTAGTGAAAAAAGTCTCGAGGTTTACACCTCAAATTTTTTATGAGATGTGTGTTTTAGCTTGGTTGAGGCACATCTTGAGGCGCGCCTTGACTCGCTTGTGTGAGGCTTACACCTCAATATATATATATATATATATATATATAATTTTTTTTTTCATGGAGGCTTATATATATATATTTTCATGGAGACCTCATGAAGCTATATATATGGCTCCAATGTACATTGCATTGGGGAGAATAAACTACGTAAGCTTAAAAGAGTCAAATCCTTTTGCTTGGTTATACAAACTCTGCAGGGCTCTTGTTGATATTAGACTATGTTTTAGTATTTTTTATTATTCTATCTTTATTTGACACTTCTTTGACCTACTGATTCTTGTTGTGTTTAGAAATGTAGTAGTATAGTAACAAGGATGGTTCTTTATATTATATAATCATGTTCTATGTAATCATAGTGTTTCTTGCCACGTAATCATATTATTTAAATGATGTTTTTCATCAAAGATCTAGGATGCCCAAAGCACTTTTTTGGCATTGAGCTTGCATATTGTAAAAGGACTCTCTCTCTCTCTCTCTCTATGCTAAGACCAACTTGAAATGAACCTTCTTGAATGTAAGCTTATTGCCTCTGTTATTGATACTCAATAGATCTCAGAGATTGAGGAACTCTTTGAAAGGTGCTTCTCACTATTGTTGTCTGGTTGGCAAACTTGTCTATTTGTTTGTGATTAGGCTTGATGTATTATTTTTCTATTGGTGTGGTTAGCTAACATATGCGAATTCAAAGAAGAAATATTAGGAGCCTTTCATATTGATTTTAAAATATATCAAGAAGTTTCCAAGAAAATGATTAGTCTATTATTAACGAAACAATCATCTAAAGGTTAAAGCCTATGTTGATTTGATTACATTTAATGTATTTAAGATAGGATATCAACTTCCAGATATTACATCTCTTGGTAGAAATCTTGTGTTATGGATAAGTAAGAAGTAAATAATTATAGCCAGATCTATGTTCAAGTAGAATACATGGTTACGATTCACTTTGCTTGTCAGATAATGCGAGTAAAAACCTTTTTTTTGAATATATTGGTTTTGCTATTGCCTAGCCTATGATCTTAAACTATGATAAGAATCAAGCCGCCATCTATATTGATGGTAACACAGTTGGCGACAAAATTCTAAATGCACACCCGCTATCTATATTAAGACAATCCTTGCTTCTCATTTTTCCAATAAAGGATAATTGACTGATATATTTACCAAAGTGCTTGTATATCACAACCATTATTAAGTAAGATTTAGTTGATAGATATGTTCTGGCTTGAGGGGAGTGCTAGCATGGAAAATGAATAATCTAATTGAAAGTAATATATAAAGTGAGTGGCATGTATTAATTAGATGTATCTTATAACATTTTACTCATTTTTCTATTATGAATAGAGAAGTTCTCTAATGAACAAGGCATAACAATCTATTTTTCTTCTATAACAATAATCTACTGGGCTTTTAGAGTCCTATTGTTTATATGTTTAAACCAGGTATTTTGAATGAGTCTGAAAATACTGATGTAATTCGACATATTCAATAAGTTCCTTATGAATTTGCAAATCAACAAATTTGGAAATAAAAACAAAATTAATACCGTTTTTTTGATTGTATCAACAAATAATTCTCTCAAGTTACAATTCTAGATTGTTTATTATAAATAAAACAACTTTAGCAAGTATTATTTGTTCTATTTTAAAATTTGGAATAAATTTAGAATCTAATTTAAATTTAGGTTTGTATATGTTTGAGTATCAATTTCAGATTTTAGTTTCGACTCTTGTTCAATTTTAGATTTAAGTGAATGAATAGTTTTTTCTACAAGCTCTAATACATCATCAAATGTGAGTTCTCCTGCAAATTTATATTTATTTTTAAATGAAAATTTATACACAAGAACTAGGGAATATTTTGCTTAATGCATGGCGAGAATATTTTGCATGCATGACTTAAGTAGGACTCAAACTTTTGTCTGAGCTAGGGCTAACCGGTAACAAATGCTTAACTTTCTCTTAAAAGCAAAGCTATTATTCTTACAGCTATTTATTATGTTCAATGTAAACATAAAAATTTAAATTCCAATTCGTGTAAAAATCCAAGCTTTTAAATAGAAATGAACTGCAAGAAATTAATGACCATGAAAGCAATCAAACAAATATTAGAAATTTTATGTATGAAAAAGAAACCAGATTGTAATATATCTGAATGAAGTAGAGAGAGAGAGAGAGAGGATGAGAATTAACTAATAGGCCTGCCTACTATAATGCTTGTAGTTTCACACTTGGATCGGTGATTGAAATTCATAAACAAGATGATAGTTTATCAAAGTGGAGGGTTGCGTTAGGTAGTCGACAGCCAGCGTAAAACTTGTCGAACAAAAATGACATGAATCCTTTAAGAAATTGTGTTAATGCTAGGGCGTCCCCTGGAAGCGACGCGCTGTATGGCCTGAATACAGTGACAAGTGTGCAAGGGCCGCTGCACCGGCGCCCGGGTGCAGTGTTAAATAGGCAAGGATTTTCACATCAAGGACGGATGTGAGCAAAGAAGCTAGTCCATGAAACTAAAATTAGGATAGAAACTTGGAATATAGGTTCCCTTACAGGAAAATTAATGGAATTAATAGATATTATGATTCATAGGAAGTTAAATATTTTGTGCATTCAGGAAACTAAATGGATTGGAGAATTTTTTAGGTCTGATCTGGAAAGGGATTCCCTTCTTCAAGAAATTGCAGACCTTGCAGTTGATTTTACGGGAGCAGAGCTCCAGAATATATTGTAAAAAAATTTCCCTTTTCCCCTCATGGCTTACCTGACTGAATGGTATGAATGTTGATTAATGCTTTGAAGTTGATGGCCAGGAATGAAGCTGGTATTTTGACTGCTAGAAAGGATAAGGACTTTATTGAAAGGGAGGAGCTACTGGAGGCTCTTAAAAGGGTACTACAAATTTCTGCATTTCTTGAATATTTGACGCATAACTATACCAAATGACATGTTAAAGGAGCTGAACCATTCTGATTTACATACACTGTTGCAAATCTTAATTTGTTTGCAGCAAAAAGGTACTTTTGAAACTGGTCAGGAAGATAGCACCACAATTCCTGAGGATTTAAAAATTAGGTTGGCTTATAGAGAAGCTGCTGTGGCTGTAGTTGCATGTTATTTTCCAGATCCTTACCGCCCATTCATACAGGCAAGTGGAGAAATAAAGTTTATTGTTTCAAATGTTATTATCGTATTTTACGTTAATCTCTATGGTTCCCATATTGATAGCTTATTCATCTGTTGCAGACTGATATAAGCACAATCAGCAGTAAGCCAAACATGCAATATGTTGAATTTTCAGGAAAAGCCTTTTTTAGGAAGTCTGATTATGTGAACTTGATAGTAAAAGCATGCACTCGTGAGTCACGTGATCCCTCTTTGTTATTTCATTCTTTTTCAAACCAATAAGCCAATTTTTTAACATTTTGATTGCACGTTCAGTATATCATCTTATTATATTACTTTTCCTTTTTTAAAAATGTATTATCGCAGGTGCATCATATTACTTTCTTTTTTCTTCAAGTAACTTTGGGTAAACAGCAAATTGGTGCCTATGTTTGGATCTTGTACAATTCAGTCATTCATTTTTATTCTTTTGCATTAATGGGTCACTTTAAAAAAATGGTGTATTTGGGGTCTTTCTCTTATGAAGCCATTAACTAATGAGAAAATCCTCAAAATATTTATAAAACTATCAAGCTAATGAGTCCCAACTGTTATTATAGTGCTGATTGGCCGTATAAAGATATTTTATTAAATTATGACGTTTCTAGACTTCCAACAACAGTGAGTCTCTCTCCAAACTGCAATTCCTCCCCTGATTGACTTCTCCAACCAGGTGTGATCAAGGCTTGGTTGTTGGAAAAAAATTGAGCTTGAATTGGTAGAGTTCTATCTACTCGTTTTGTTCTGCATTATCCTCATTTGTCTAGCACAAATGATTTAAATTATTATTTAGCTTCTAATTTTGATAATTTTGTATGTGATGTTTTACTGAGTTTTATCTTATTATTTAATGTTGAATGTATAATTTAGATTCAAATATCATCATTACTAATAATCTAATTATATTAATTACAATTATTTTTATTGTGTTTATCATGAATATATTATTGATTATTGTTTTTGTTTATAAGTGTATAATTTTTAGCTTTCTTATCAGCCTTATTATTCAATAACTTTTAGCATTTGGTGAGGACTCTTCCTCGAATTACTTTTATGCAAACTTACCATTGTTCCTAGCACTGCCACTCTCGTATAGGGTTGCAAGCAAACTGGGTGTTTGACAATTTGCTCATGGCTCGGCTCGATTGTAGTTTGTTCGTGATTGTTTGATTAAGTAATCAAACAAGCTTGAGCATTTTTTTTTAAATACTCAATGTTTAAATAAACAAGGAGAAAAGGACAAAAATGGTCCCTCAACTCTTTGTGAGAGTTCAAAATGGTCCCCAACTATTTTGAGGGAACAATTTGATCCCTCAACTCTAAATGAGACTTTTTTTTTGTTTTACTGCCAATTTTAAAAGGAAATGTGAGATGGACATGAGGGTATTATCAGAATAAGCAAAGAATGTTTTAAGAGATGGTCCTGCAACACAGAGTAGCGTATTAGCGAATCCTCAAGGCGCACCCAAGTCAGACCCCAGCAACCGAGTAACCAAGCCCATGGGCAAATCTAGCATACTATAGCACAGAGTAGCGGCCCGTAGCACAACATCCTCCTTTGCGGCCATGATCCCTAGTGTCTCGCGGCGCGTCATGTTGATCCCGCAATCCCGCAGCGTCGATCCCACGATGCATCCTCAAATCAATAATCGATTTGACCCCATAGTCCTACAAAGGCTATACTGCAGTCGATCATTAATGTCTATCGATCGTAGTCTAACCCAACGTCCATCAATCGCAGCCTTGAAGGAGAATTTATCCATGGATTTACCCTTGTTCAACTCACGTAATGGGATTTGAGCGCCCCGTAAGTCTCACGGCGGAATAAATCCTTCGTTTCTCTCTTTTTTGCCGTAAATCTTGAATTTACTTAATAATACTATTTAAAAAAAATTATCTAATTAATTTGATAATTATTAATATAATTAAATATCAAATATTTATTAAATTAACATATGTACAAGTAATTTAATAAATAATACTATAACTAGTAATTAAATAATTTAATAATGAAGCTAATTTCTAATTAAATTATTTATCATTATAATTTGTTAATAGACGTGCTTCTCATTACTTATAAGAATGAATATAATAAAACTCAGATTGATTATTTTTATATAAGAAAAATAGATCGTTTAGATTGCAAAGATTATAAAATTTTTCTTAGTGAAAGTTTTTGTACCCAATATCGTTTATTAGTTTTGAATTTTAAAATGAAGGGGCAAAAAATAAAAAATAAAATAAATCCTTGTTCTAAAATTAGATGAGGGCATTCAAAGAACATTAATAATTTTTTTAGAGTAAAATTCTAAATTTTAAGATTTTGTCTATGCATGAGGAAGCTAATGTTATGTAGGAAAAAAGTAGCGAGTAATATGACGGTTTAAAATTGCGTAAATAAGGCTCGAGGCGGTGTGAGGCGTAAGCCTCACGGATGTAGAATTGCGTAAATGAGAATTTAAGGGTTTTAGCAGGTAAATAATATCAAGTTTCTATCATACAATAAAAACATCTAAATGACATATGAAATTAGTTGAAAGTAAGAAAATATATGTCATAAAATCATGTCCCAAAGTACAAAACCACAAAATATTAGTCTATCAAACTCCCAAAGTATAATTAAGAAAGAACATATAAAATTCAATCATATCCCATCACTAAATGGGTCTTCAAGGGAATCTTTTTCTTCAATTGTATTTATGAATGTCATATCTTCATCATCTTCAATGTAACTCACTTTTCTCTTTCTTGTTCAATAAGAATGATTATTATCATGTTAATTGTTCACTTGATATAAATATAATGCAGTAGCATATAAGAAGTTGTGGAAAACCTTTATTTGGTTGTTGTGCTGCAGAACTAATGGATGTGTTTGGTGTGATACTAGTGGATATGCCCACTTGTTCTGCTTCGCCCCTCAAGACATCTACACTTAGATCCTCTAGTTGCATGTCTGATAATGACAAATCTATCTCATCATCTATGAATCACTCATTATCAGATGACACATCATCACACACCAACGGGTCGTCATCATCCTTCAACCCCTTATTCCTCAACCTCCTATCTCTCAATTTCTTGTTGTACATAATATACACAAGGGAGTTCATTATGAATGTTGAAAGCCGATTTCTTTTTTTTGTTTGCACTTGACTATATGTACTCTAGTTTCGCTCACACTTAGAAGAAGAACAAGTGAGACCCAAAACTCTAACAACAAAACTTTGTAACTCAGGGGTTGAATCACCAAATTGGATTCACCATTCAACTATTTCCAAGAAGAAAAATGATAATCAGAACATATTAAAGTGTAACTAGACCTCCCACCGAGCATAAATGATATCCCAAATTTCTCTATAACTTGCCTCCTCTCCTCCCAAGTTATGTGCAATCAACTTTTTCGCCTCATCCATAGTATTATAAATAAAACCCATGTCTGGTTTCTTCTCGGCATCAACTAAATGGCATAGGTCACAGTAGCCCAAAATTTATCATTTAGAATTAGCTTGCGTATTTCCCTCCCCTCCATTTTCTTCCCCCACACAGAGTTAAGCCATTATGTTGATGTAAACATTGCTTCAAGAGGTTGTCTCACATCCAACATGCTTTGTAGTGTCAAATAAGATGTGGCAAACCTGTAGTATAAACTTGCATTAGGAATTGAAAATGATTTACATTGCACAAATGTAATAACGAACCTAGTGGTTGCAGGACGAATGATTTCCTTCTATGAAAACTTTATCATCAAGGCTAAGACACATGAGTGGTTGTAGATGAACTTTGCGATCTTCTTTGCCCTAGAAAGAGTGCTCTTGTGTTGAGGTAAATCACCAAGTTCCTCCAATATGAGATCAATACAGTGTGCTGCGCAGGGGGTCCAATACAGGTGTTTTATCTTCTCCATCAACATCTGACCAGCTGCTTTGTATGCACTGGCATTGTCAGCACCACCTGAACAACCAATTGCTCCCCAATCCCCTCAACAATCCAACTAGTAAATTGAAAATGAATGCAACATTTTTAACCTCATATGAAGCTTCAACTGATCGTAAAAATATAGTGCCGTAGGGATTGTTGACAAGGATATTAATCAAGCTCTTGCTCTTCATGTCAGACCATTCATCTGACATAATGGTAACACCAGCCTCAATGCATGTCCGTTTAATCTCATCAATGCTCTGTTCTGTGTTCTGCAGCTCCTTCAAAATCCATGTTCGCAACTCGTACATGGAACGTGCCTTCAACCCTCTCCCATACAACCTACAGACCACAGCATATTGAAGTAGACCGGCGAGGTAGCAACATTAAATGGTATGGCATTCTATGATTCTAAAAAAAATATGCCAATATCCATCAGACATCATCTGTGCTTGTCCTCTATCCTCTTCTGGATTAGTCATATATTGGTCCATCAGATCCCGTGCACCTCTAATATGTATAGTGGAGGAAGAGCCCTTTCCACTCTCGCTCCCGAAGTAAGCACCATGTTTGACCCTTTCATCAAATTGCTCCTGTTGTAAGTATTTTTCCGTGGTACTTTTCTTCATGTAAGCAATAATTTCATCCTTCACCTTGTCCGACACATTTGCATACGGTGCTACGTTTTTATGAGAGCATGATAAATGCTCCTTCATGCGGGTTACTCCGCTCTTCACTACTTTCTCGCAAAAATTGCATTTCAAATACACATAAGTCTTATCATCGCCGCATATGTCAACTTATATACTGTATTTCCAAGAAGGGTCCCTCTGCAATGACGTATTAGACTTTTCCTTGCCCTTAATCATATTTTCTGAAGGAAAAAAGCAAAATAAAACAAAAACACTCAAAAAATTTAAAACCATAGCTTTCCTATAAGTTGAAAAATCATACCCTAAACTTTAAAAAACTATAAGAATTAATCAACAAATAATGTAGAGGGGCGGCCGGAAATAAAGGGCTCACCGGCGAGCGGCGGCGCCGGCAGGAGAGGCGCCGGAGACATGCGGGAGATCCGGCTTCGGGTTTTTGCGGGATCGGGAACGGCAGCTTTCAGGATCGGGTTCACGATGCTTGCGGTTTGGCTTGGACCGGTAGAAGGGAGAGGCATTTTCATAATTATTTGAGGTGAGTGGGACCCTCTCTATGAGGTGCACGCTTCAAGCAAAATTGCGCAATTGAGGCGCGCCTCACTCTGCTTGAGGCGAAAGCCTC